CTCAATTCAGGAAAATCTTTATGTCCTCTTACTTACAATTGTTATAAACTTTAATCTCTGCCTTAAATGCCTTTCCTGGTTCCCATGCATTATTCTCTCCTGATTACCCTTCTCCCTCTCCAATTATTTTCCTTTGAGGCTGCTCTTCATCCACCCAGGCTTAAATGTTGACTTTCCTCAGGGTTCTAACCCCAGGTGCTGTCTCACTGGTTGCACCGGGCAGTTGAATCTGTAAGCACTTTTCACCTTCAGTATGGTCTGTGCTCATTATTTCCAAACCATTATGGACTTGTCTCTGAGCTATACACCCAGACCTCTGACTTTGTGTTAGGGCATCACTATCTGAGTGTCACAGAGGCATCTCAAAATTTAACCTGTACAACATAAATTATGGCATTTTTTTCCCCAAAGCCTGCTGCTCTTTCTATATTTCCTCTTTCAGTCAATGATAGCACTGTTCATCCCACCATCCAAATCTAAAACCTAGGAAACTCATCCTTCACATGCCAACTATTCTACTCATTGTTTCCCATGTGGGATCAATCACCTATCACCTTTCAACTGGACAATTAAACTTGCCTTGTAACTAGACTCCATCTCTGTTCTCAACCCTCTTCAATCCATCTCTGTTGTTGCCAAGTGAATGTCTAAAAGGACAAATCTAATCATGTCATATACCATGTTTAAAATCTTTGAGTTTTAATCCAAAATCCTTGATGTACTCTAGGACTTTATCATTTGGCCACTGCCTTTGTCTTCATCCATTTATTCTATTGCTTCATAGTACTGCACTTGCAATTCAACTGATCCAAGCTACCAGTCATGTCGTGGATTCACAATCATTCCTTTTGAGGCTTCATTCTAACTATTCCTTGCCCAAAATATTGTTCCTTCACTCAACTTCCAGCTCAGCTCAGATTTTCTTCTATAAAGCCTCTCCTAAATCTCGCAACTAAAGTAAGCATTCCCCCTGAATTGCTACTGTAACTAATATATACCTCAGTTATAATACTATTAATTGTTTATCTCTCCTATACTTATTTCCTTGAGGGCAGCATAGTTTTACACTTTGTAAATATTTGATGAAGAGGCTTAAACAACAGGACAACTCCATTTTCAAATATTCTATAAAAATACAGAAGTGAGAAGAAGTCATAAAATTGCAACTGGTCCATCCAACAGGGACCTTGCATTTGACCAAATTAGCAAGCAGTAAGTTTTAGAAGAATACCTATTATCTTAATCATCTCGAATTCAACAGCAGTAACTGCTTTCCTGGTTTAAAAAAAAATATATATATATTAGTACAGCCCTGAATCCCTAACCTAGAGCACATATAATAAAGCACAGCTCTAAAGAGTTAAGGATAGGGCTCCTGGGTGGCTCAGTCAGTTGAGCATCCAACTTTGGCTCAGGTCGTGATCTCACGGTTCATGAGTTTGGGCCACATGTCGGGCTCTGTGCTGACAGCTCAGAGCCTGGAGCCTTCTTCAGATTCTGTGTCCCCCTCTCTCTGCCCCTCCCCTGCTTGTACTGTGTCTCTCCCTCTTTCTCAAAAGTAAATAAACATTAAAAAACTTTAAAAAAAAACAAAACTAAAAATATTCTTACTGTAAGACCTAGCAATCATGGTTCTTGGTATTTACCCAAAGAAATTTAAAATTTATGTCCACATAAAAACCTATAAATGGATGTTCATAACTGCTGTATTCATAATTGCAAAAACTTGGAAGCAACCAAAATGTCCTTCAGTAGGTAAACAAACCATGGTACCACCAGACAATGGAATATAATTCAGCACTAAAAAGAAATGAGCTGTCAAGCCATGAAGAGACACAGAAAAACTTTAAATGCATTTTGCTAAGTGAAAGAAGCCAATATGAAAAGGCTACATACTGTATGACTCCAACTAAAAGAATCCAGAAAATGCAAAACTATGGAGACAGTAAAAGGATCAGTGGTGGTCAGGGGGGCCAGAGTTGGAGAGATGAAAAGGCAAAGCACAGAGGATTTTTAGGGCAGTGAAAATACTCTGTATGATGCTGTAATGATGGACCATGTCATTATACATTGTGTTCAAACCCACAGAAAAGTGGTGCCTGGGTGGCTCAGTCGGTTAAGCATCCGACCTCAGCTCAGGTCATGATCTCGCAGTTTGTGAGTTCAAGCCCCGCATTGGGTTCTGTGCTGACAGCTCAGAGCCTGAAGCCTGCTTCGGGTTCTGTGTCTTGCCCTCTCTCTTGCCCTTCCCTGCTCATGCTCTGTCTCTGTCTCTCAGTAATAAATAAATGTTAAAAAAAAGGTTTTTTTTAAACACAGAATGTACAACACCAAGAACTATAATGTAAACTGTGGACTTTGGGTAGTTATAAATGTATCAATGTAGGTTCATCAACTATAACAAATGTACCACTTTGATGGGGGATGTTAATATGGGGGAGGTTATACCTATGTCGGGGTAGAAGGTATATGGGAAATATCTGTACCTTCCTGTCAACTATGTTGTGAACTACTAAAAACTGCTCTTAAAAAAAAAAAAAAATAAGTCCTATCAAAAAAAAAGGGGGGAGGGGAAGGAAAATCAAAAAGACCTCTGAAACAGTTAACAACAACAAAAAAAGATCAAGCATCTGCTGGATTTAAGGCCCACAGTCATGGCTGGTTACACACAAAGATCAAGAAAGCTTAGGATCTGGGCAGCTTTCTGAAGGAGAGGATCCACAGCTTTGCATCAGTTCTCAGAGGATCCCATAATCTCAAAATCATTTAGAACCACTTATTTACGAAGATGAAATAGGGACCTCAAAGGGTACATTAGTAGTTTAAGGGAGGACATTTTTAAAAACTGAAAATACTGTACCTATATATTTTGCATGTGCTAGATTTAAACCGAACAAATATACTCTAAAAAAATATGTGTCCATTTATCATTTCTTTGATATATCCAACTACGCATAAATTAAAATTAGTTAAATACCAAAACCACAGAAGAAGAGCTTCCCTGAATCTAAAAGCCCAAGAAAAAGGAAGAGCAATGGCAGATTTAAGAGCTTTATCTTCTGACAGTTAAGACCAAAAAAGCTAAAGGTAATATCAACTGTCAACTGTATGAAAACAGGTTACATTCATAAGAAATGGAGCAAATGAGAAACAGGTGCAAGAAATAAAATTAATTCTTTAATGGAAATTTTTCAAAATCCTCACTCAGCCTACTAATCCAATAGACACAGACTCCTAAAATGGTTTCTTAGGCTAGCTTGTAGACCTAATTGGAAACATAAAAAATAGAAGGTGTCAACAGGTGAGGGGACTCAATTACATTCAGCAAACAGCTAAATATTTACAATCTAGATCTAGCTATCATAAATGCATACTATGTAAAATAAAAAAGTTGACTTTTGTAATATTATACATTATAAGAGCTCAGTCTTAATCTCCAGGAAAACAGCACAATGATAGCACTTAACTGCAACAAACCGTTGTTCCAAATACAGGAACAACTCTGAGCCAAAGGACCGCACCTGTTTCTGCTATACATATGTGAGACAAACAAGGGAAACCGAAAACCACAACTGATCAAGTGCGTTTCCATTCACCACAAAACTTCTAGTAAGGCATGCTTTCAGGAGCGACGTTTAAAAGGTGTACCAAGGATACCATGTGCATGACACTAGAAGACAGCTTTTGTTTTTTCTTTTAAATAACTGAACCACTGAACAGGAAATGCTTCTTTTTTTCTTTTTAAAGTTTATTTGTTTATTTTAAGAGAGAGAGAGAGCACAAGCAGGTGAGGGGCAGAGAGGAGAGACAGAATCCCAAGCAGGCTCCAAGTGCACCATCAGCACAGAGCCCCATGTGGGGCTCGATCCCACAAACTGAGAGATCATGACCTAAGCCGAAATCAAGAGTTGGAAGCTTAACCAACTGAGTCATCCAGGTGCCCCTCAAGAGGAAATACTTCTAATTGAAGAAGTGCAAACAAACAAACAGCCTAACTTGTCCATGCAGACACCTGAACTACCAATGCTGCTGCAGAAAAATCACATATCTGGACATACTGGTACTACAATGAAATTGATAAGCTCTGGTATCAACTGGGTCTTCAGGGAAGTCTGAGAGTCTTTTTTGTGTTCCTACACAGTTCTATCCCTGAGTCTATATTGAACTAATTCAGTTTTTTTTTTAACTTTTCCTCACTGTCCTAAAAATTCACCACCACTTCCACCTTCAGTATCCCCAGCTTAGATGTGCTTATGTGGGTGGGACCCTCATGATGACCTTGTGCCCTTATAAGAAGAGACACCAGAGAGGTCTCTCTCTCTTTGCCATGGGAAGACACAGTAAAAAGGCCAGCTTCCAAAAGCCAGGAAGAGAGACCTCGCCAGAAAGAAATCATTCTAACAGCCTCATCTTGGATGTCCAACCTCTAGAAATGTGAGAAAATAAATTTCTGTTGTTTAAGCCAAGAAGTCTATGGTAATTTATTATGGCAGCCCACGGGGCGCCTGGGTGGCTCAGTCGGTTAAGCGGCCGACTTCGGCTCAGGTCATGATCTCACGGTCCGTGAGTTCGAGCCCCGTGTCGGGCTCTGTGCTGACAGCTCAGAGCCTGGAGCCTGTTTCAGATTCTGTGTCTCCCTCTCTCTGACCCTCCCCCGTTCATGCTTTGTCTCTCCCTGTCTCAAAAATAAATAAACGTTAAAAAAAATAAATAAATAAAATTAATATTATGGCAGCCCAAGCTGACTAATACCAAATCATACTTACAGTTGGAGATTCCATACCAAACCCAACTCCAGTTTGACTTAATAATAGTGTCTTTAAGTTAAAGAACACTAATTCTGGTTTTGACTTTGACTTTTTTTTTAAGTGCTATCTTTCAGAAAATAATTATAGAAAATGAAAAAAAATTAAAAATAAACATGAAATAATAAACAGGTATAGTGCAGGCCTATAAGAATACATCATCAATCTAATAAAAATGGAATAAAAGATACTTACCACCACCAAGAATGTAAGAATCCTGGTGGTTCCCCCAATGTGATGTTTTTTTCCCATCTTATCTAAAATGAATAAAAGAGATATTAAATACTTTCTTAATAATACCTTTTCCCACACATATTACAAAGCAATATTTCCCCATTAAAAATACTAAGTTAATATATGAGATTTTAATCATTTTGATAGTATTCTTTACTCAAGTTTTACAAGAGCTCATTTTACATAGTTATTTGTTGATTTGGTGGTTTATGAGAGAAGATGCCAGCAGTATTTTCCTGAATTTGCTTCCCACTGTGCCCAATTTTTAAGAGAGACTTCTGGAATTTGAGGTATCTCAGGATCTTAAGGCACATCAAAACTGCATTTTAATTAATCCCCACTAATCCAGAAATTTGCAAATGTCTGGGCTTAATATGTGCAGACTCCCAATGATGCCTTGAGGATTGATATTTTAAACAAATTCCTGATTTGAGGGGATGAGAGTAAGAAGGCATATGTCTTCCATAAAATAACAGTTTAAAAAAGATGATATTAACTTTCCCAATGTTTATATTTCAGATGGCTTGGCATTCACTACCAAAAATTTAAAACAAGGTCAGTATCTCTTAAAAATTAAAATTTCTCACTAAATACTGTTTACAAATTAAATTTAGAGATTTGAAAACTGGGTAGGATTTATACAGTGCCTTTTCTAAGCACTGATAGGAGTAAACAAAAGATAAAAATCTTTGCATTCAGGGAGATTATACTTTATAGAGAAGACAGACCATAAACAAAGCAAAAAGAAAAAAAAAGGAGATTGTATTTATATTAGAAGTAGCAGGCAACAAATGCTAAGGAGGAAAACAAAGCAGAGAAGGACAAAAAAAAAAAAAAAAAGGAAAAAAGTAAGAAGTGAGCTATAATTTTAACTAAGGTGATCCAGAAAGGTCTCCTAAACAATCTTTATGTAGGAATGCCTGGCTGATTCATTCAGAGAAGGCGCTCTTGATTTCAGGGGTCATGAGTCACAAACCCATGGTTCTATCTTTATGTATAAGTATGATTTAGTTTTCTAGTTTAAATAATTAAAAATTATTTAACAATATCCCAATTAGCAAAATATGCCCATAGGACCTTAATATAAAGAGGAAGTAAAAAACTACATAATTATAGATTTAAAAAAAAAACAAGGAATTCTTTCTATCACCTACTATGGAAGAACTTAGAAATTTTTGTTCTAAAGGATTTAAAAAAAAAAAAA